GGCGCCTTAGCCGGTTGAGCTATAGGCGCCGAGCCCACACCCGGCTATTTTTAGGTTGCAGTTGTCATTGTTTATCAGGCCCAGCTGGGTTGGAACCCAAGAGCCTAGGTGCATGTAGCTGGCACCCTACTCACTGAGCTACAGCTGCCAAGCTCCTCTTTATTTTTTTTTCTTACCCTCTTTATTTTTTTGAGAGAGACTCACTCTGTCCCCCTGGGTATGAGTGCCATGACGTCATTACGGTTCACAGCAACCTCAAACTCTTTGGCTGAAGAGATTCTCTGGCCTTAGCCTCCCCAGAAGCTGGGACTATAGGCCCCCACCGTAACTCCCAGCTAGTTTTTCTGTTTTGAGTAGAAAAATAGGGTGTCCCTCTTGATCAGGCTGGTCTTGAACTCCTGAGCTCAAGCAATCCAGCCACCACGCCCTGTCTGAAGTGGTTAATTTTTTTTTTTTTTTTTTTTTTTTTTGGCCAGGGCTGGGTTTGAACCCACAACTTCCAGCATGTGGGGCTAGCACCCTACACTTTTGAGCCACAGGCACCGCCCTGAAGTGGTTAATTTTAAATATGTGTAATAGAGATGTGCACTGGAATCTCCACCTCAGAGACTGTCTTTTTTTCCGACTTGCACATGCTCCGTGATATTGTAACATGGCTTTTACAGGTTCCCATTGAAATTTTAAAAAATGAGCCAATGGCCCCCAATATAGAGAAGTCCCCTGAATGTTTTCAACCAAATTCTGTGTAGAAACTGACAATGTAGACCTATAGGGCTCATGACATTCCATGGCCATGGTCCCAAGGCTTCCCCCAGAAGGGCAGGGGGGCTACCTCTCAGGCTCTGCCACACCTGCCTCCCTGTAGGACAAGAACTCACTGCAGCCCTGGGTGAAAGACAATGGGGTAGTGGTCACCATGTCCCCTCTTCAGTGGCACAATGCCAACAGGAGGAGAGGTATGGCTTTGTGGCCACCAAATGCAGAGTGAGATTGGCAGAAACTGAGGACTTTTCCACCTGTACCAGTGACTTTGACCATAAGAACATGAGGGTGGTCAGGACTGGCCTAAGGAGAATGCCTTTTCCCTAGACGTGTCCTCAGGATGTTTTCCTTGCAGATTCATCAGGATGAACCACCAGGGTGCACCGAGACTCCTGGACCTGGCTGTGCAGAGCCTGGTGAGAAATGAAGCCTTGGCCATATCTGCTCTGGAGGAGCTGCCCGAGGAGCTCTTCCCACCGCTGTTCCTGGAGGCCTTCACCAGGAGACGCAGCAGAGTCCTGATGGCGATGGTGCATGCCTGGCCCTTCACCTGCCTCCCGCTGGGGTCCTTGATGAAGACACGTGACCTAGAGACATTGAGAGCTGTGCTGGATGGGCTGGATGCACTGCTCACCCAGAAGGTTCAGCCCAGGTGAGGGGGACCCAGGGAGCTTGGGAGGGATTGGCATGGGGGACAGAGAGCAGGCAGGACAGGAAGAGTGGGGGGCGCTCAAGGGTGGACCAGAGGCCTCTGGAGATGCCAGTGAGGCAGCTCTGACAACTGACCATTGCTGAGCCCCCTGGGAAAGGGCTCCCAGGATGGAAAGATGCTCCCCATGCTGGGATCACTAAGAGAATGAGAACCCCCCTCCTCCCAATGGCACCTAAGGACACTGGGTGTGAGAACAGGCAGGGGTCAAGGGCAAGAAAGACTGAGGAAAGGTAGGCAGAGGAGAAGTCAGGGGGGACCAGCAACGACTTGAGTGTGGAATAAAAGGTCAGGTGGGTCCTTCCCTAAATTCTGAGACTCTCCCATTTCACCCACAGGAGGTCGAAACTGCAAGTGCTGGATTTGCGGGATGTGGATGAGAACTTCTGGACTGTGTGGTCTGAAGGGGTGGCCCATACCTGCTTATCAAACGCCCTGGGTAAGAGGAAAACAGGGAAGGACTGTCCAGGTTCTGGAAGGGAGAAGCCCTTCGAGGTGATTGTGGATCTCTGCCTCAAGGTGAAAACATTGGATGAATCCCTCACCTACCTCTCACTGTGGGCCAAGCAGAGGAAAGATTTTGTTCATCTGTGCTATAGGAAGCTGGACATTCTTGCAGGGGCCTTGAAGATAATCACAACTGATCTACAAACAGTGAACCTGGACTGTATCGAGGAGGTGGGGGTGATTTGCCATTGGAATTTGCCCACCCTGGGACGTTTTGCTTCTTACCTGGGCCGAATGCGTCACCTTCGGACACTCCTTGTCTCCCACGTCAATGTGCCTGCCTATCTTTCCCTGGTGATGCAGAAGAAGTACGTGTCCCAGTTTGCCACTTCATTCCTGAAGCTGGACCATCTCCAGGCGCTTCATCTGCACTCCGATTCCTTCCTTGAAGGCCGCCTGGACCAGGTGCTCAGGTAGGAAAGGTGGGGCGTTTTCTCTGCAGACCAGAGCAAAGCCTCTCTCGGTGACAGTGAACACGAGAGGACAGCTACTGTGTGGCAGCCTCTGGCCACAGAGCAGTGAGGGGGACACTGAATGTCAACACACAGTTGTGTTCACTGTCTGTCCTAAAGTGGGTGTCACATAACTACCCAGGAAAGCTGCCCTAGAGAGGGACACGTTTGTAGGGAGCGAGCTGTTGGGGTTCTCAGATCTAGCGAGGGTACATTCATGAATTTGTCCTGAAAAGTGTGTCAAAGATCAGATGATGGGGAAATTGGTAAGTGAGAAAGGGGCTGAAGAAGGGACAGCACATCAAAGCTTCACTTCTGAAACTACGGAGGAACCTCTGTAAGTTGACCACCCAAGACACTGCAGCCTACTGGTCAACACAGGGAGGTGTCAACATAGGGAACTAGGCCTGCTGTGCTCATAGGTCCGTGTGGCGCGTGTCTGGTCTAGGACAGTTAGGGCAACTTAGGGAGGTGTTCCAGGTAGGGAGGGGGTCAGCACTGGAGGTTCTGCTGCATGGGCTCTGTCCTCAGTGTCTTAGTGAACACTACTGAGCCTGTCTCTAACTCCCTCTGTGTCATAGGTGGTTTGGGGGCTCCAAATAAATCAATTCACGTATGGAAGATGCCAGAATCTTCAGTAGAGGGTGAAGGAGCGGGAGTAAAGAACTATTAAGAGTGAGAGATGGGTGCTGAGGACACAGACATGCCGGTGACTCTGCAGCCACCTGCAACCCCAGCTGATGCTGCTGGATCTTACCTGGTTATGTCCTTTATGTGGGTCTCCCACTGGGCTCGTGTGGCCCAATAATGTGGGATTTTTCAACAAATGGGAAAGGGAGTCTTAGACATTCTGTGGAATTGAGTGAGTTGCATGAGTGCTGGAGAATCACCCTAAAATGAGACTGACCAGAATGACCACAGCCTTCAGCAGACATCATCTTGGGTGCTGGCCAGCATCAGATGATCAACAGAATGACTTTGGGCTTGGGCAAAACGCCCACCTTGACGGCCTTCCCTACTCCCCTCCACTCACTGCTACCATTCCCCAGAACTAACTTCTTACTCTGCGTTCCAGGTGCCTCAGGACCCCGTTGGAGACCCTCTCAATAAGCCACTGCCCACTTTTAGAATCAGACATGAGCCATCTGTCCTGGTGCCCGACCCTCACTCAACTAAAGCACCTGGTCTTCAATAATGTGAGACTGACCGATTTCAGCCCTGAGCCCCTTCAACTTCTCCTGGAGAGAGTCGCTGCCACTCTGCAGACCCTGGACCTGGAGGACTGTGGGATCTCTGATGCCCAACTCAGAGTCATCCTGCCCTCCCTGAGCCGCTGCTCCCAGCTCACAACCTTCAGCTTCTGCGGGAACCAGATCTTCATGCCAGCCCTGGAGGACCTGGTACGCCACACTGTTGGGCTGAGCAAGTTTAGCACGGGGCTGTACCCTGTGCCTCTGGAGAGCTATGATGCTTCCGGAATTTTCTACCAGGAAATACTTGCCAGATTTGCGGCTAAGCTGAGGCAGACACTGAGTGACTTGCAGTCAAAGAGCATCTTCTTTGGCACAGTCCCCTGTCCTGAGTGTGGCAACGGACTCTTCTATGACTTGGACATGGTTCGGCATTGCTGCTGAATGTCCGTCTAGTTTGGGCGGATGCGCCACACTCTGCTGTGCCCTTGGAAGCTGAAACCTGGGACTTCAGTGCCTCCTAAAGAGAGCACCGAACCCAGCATTGTAGACACCCGCCCAGTGGGAATGGGAAAGGGACGGCGATGCAGCAGGGGGAAGGCTGACCTCGGGAGCCATTGCGACCTATGGGAACATGTGTCCTAGAGAGCCAGAACTTTAAATCACAATTTCTAGAACAGGGTTCAGCCTTGAGAGGTCTATGAGGAAGTCACCTCTGCATAGATGGATGTAAAGAAACGGGGCAGGACAGGGAGGATCACACAAAGTTAGGAGTGAGGGTGCAGTGAGCTATGATTACAGCACTGCATGCAGTCCAGCTGGGTGACACTGTGAGACCTTGCCTCCAAAAGAAAAAAGAAAGAAATTCCCAGCATTCTGGGAGGCTGAGGTTGGTGGGGCTCCTGAACTCAGGAATTGGCAACCAGGCATCCTGAGCAACGATGATACCCTGTCCCTAAATATATAGTTGGGAGTTGTGGCAGGCACCTGTATAGTCCCAGCTACTTGGGAAGTGGAGGCAGGAGGGAGCATTTGAGCCCAGAGTTTGAGGTTGCTGTGAGCTGTGATGCCACGGCATTTTACCGAGGGTGACAAAGTTGAGACTCTGTCTCAAAAGTAAATAAATAAATTAAATTAATGCAAATAAAAAACAGGGAACCTCAGTGTAAACTACCATCTAGTTCCTCATGTTCAATTAAATTTGCTTTTTGATTTAAACTCAGGAATCATGCAGGGCTCATACCTATAATCCTAGCATTCTGGGAGGCCAAGGTGGGTAAACAGGCTGAGCTTAGGAGTTTGAGAGCAGCCTGAGCAAGAGGGAGACCTGTCTCTATGAAAAATAGAAAAACTAGCTGGGCATTGCGGTGGGTGCCTGTAGTCCCAGGTTCTGGGGAGGCTGAGGCAAGAAAGCGATCCCTCCAGCCCAAAAGTTTGAGGTTGCTGTGAACTATGACACCAGGGTACTCTACCCAAGGTCACAGAGTGAGACACTGTCTGAAGAAATAACAAATAAAATAAACCTGAGGAATCATCCATGAAGAAGAGGCACTGAGCTGTATGTTGTTAGGGAGGTTCAAGGCCAGGAACTCAGGATATCAGTAGAAACGTGATCACTAGAAAACCTTGGTGCGCCAATGCAGTGGGCCTAGCATAATTTTTGCGCCAATGCAGTGGGACTAGCATGGTTTTTGCACCAACGCATTGGGACTTGTGTGGTTTTCATGCCAACGTAGTGGGACTAGAGCAGTTTTCACGCCAATGCAGTGGCACCAGCGCAGTTTTTGTGCCAGTGCAGTGGCACCTGTGTGGTTTCTGCTCCAATGCAGTGGGACTAGTGCAGTGTTCACACCAATGCAGTGGGACTAGCGCAGTGTTCACACCAATGCAGTGGGACTAGCGCAGTGTTTGTGCCAATGCAGCAGTTCTAGCATGGTTTTCACGCCAATGCAGTGCCTGTAGGCCGGTTTTCTCACCACTGCAGCAGTACTAGCATGGTTTTTGCACCAATGGAGTGCCTCTAGGCTGGTTTTGGCGCCAATGCAGTGTCTCTAGCGCAGTTCTCACACCGATGCAGTGCCACTAGCGCGGTATTTGTGCCAATGCCAATACAGTGCCACTAGCGCGGTATTCATGCCAATGCCAATACAGTGCCACTAGCGCTGTATTTGTGCCAATGCCAATGCCATGCCACTAGCACATTTTCACGCCAATGCCAATGCAGTGCCACTAGCACTTGTTGACACACCAATGCAGTGCCACTGGTGCTTGTTGGTGCGCCCATGCAGTGCCCTAGCGCGGTTTTCATGCCAATGCAGTGCCCTAGTGCAGTTTTTGTGCCAATGCAGTGCCACAAGCGCAGTTTTTAATGCAGTGCCACTAGCGCGTGTTGGCGCACCAATGCAAGTGAGTCAAACCAGATTGTACAAATTAGTTTTAGAAGTGTTGTACCCCTGCAACGTGAAAGTATACACTCAGACCCCTCTTAAGTGCAATTCAATTGGAGATTTATTGAAACTGGGAAGAGGGCTACTGCTCTGTGACAGACATCCTGTCTCAGTAGAGGGCAGGTTGCCTTATATAAATTTTGAGCAATCATATTACAGAAGCAAAATGTGGTTGGTTAGTCACAGCAGGGGGGTTATAGCTCAGGTGTTCAAGACCAATCCGAGCAAGAGTGACACCTTGTCTCTAAAAAATAGACAGGGCTCAGCGCCGGTGGCTCAAGTGGCTAAGGTGCCAGCCACATACACCAAATCCAGCCCGGGCCCACCAAACAACGACGCCAAAAAATAGCCAGGCATTGTGGCAGGTGCCTGTAGTCCCAGCTACTTGGGAGGTGAAGATAGGAGAATCGCTTGAGCCCAGGAGTTGGAAGTTCCTATGAGCTGTGATGCTGCGGCACTCTACCCTGGGCGATAGCGTGAGGCTCTGTCTCAGAAAAAAAGCAAAGAAAAAAAACCCCAAAATAGCCAGGCATCAATCATGGTGAGCACCTGTGGTCCCAGCTACTTGGGAAGCTGAGGCAGGAGACTCGCTTGAGCCCAAGAGTTGGAGGTGCTATGAGCTGTGATGCCACAGCACTCTACCCACGGGGACAGCTTGAGGCTCTGTCTCAAAAAAAAAAAAGATCAATTTCCTTGGCTTGGTGCCTATAGCTCAAGTGGCTAAGGTGCCAGCCACATACACCAAAGGTGGCAGGTTCGAATCCAGCCCAGGCCTGCCAAAGAACAATAATGGCTACAACCGAAAAATAGCCAGGCATTGTGGTGGGCGCCTGTAGTCCCAGCTACTTGGGAGGCTGAGGCAAGAGAATCACTTAAACCCAGGAGCTGGAGGTTGCTGGGAGCTGTGATGCCATGGCACTCCAGCCAGAGCAACAGCTTGAGGCTCTGTCTAAAAAAAAAACAACAGCTATTCAAATTGACAAAACCAAACCAAGATATTATGTCTTCCTCGAAGGATGGCATTTGCTACATAGTGGGTTTGAAAACATATAAGAAGATTCAATTTTATTATTTTATCATTAAATTTTTTCTTCTCTTTCCTTTTCGAGGCAGAGTCTCGCCTCTGTCGCCCTCGGTAGAGT